GAAAAAGGGGTTTGGGTATTAACTAGTAAGTGGTCTGGTGGTTAGAATACTCTGCTGGGAAGCAGGAGATATAGGTGTAAACTCCTCTGTGCCTAGAAGTTTGGACCAGGTACAGACATTACACTTGTACCAGTAAAAAAGTGATAGGAAACTGGTCTATACCCATAATAGAACAGAAGTTTGGCACATGTAGACTGTTTTAAAAATGAAAGAACCAGATCTAAGGTTTGCCCTCCCAATAAAGGGTGAATGTGTGTTTTGTTTGCTACTGATCTAAACTACACTGTTTACAGAAAACTGTGTAACCAATTCTGCCTCAGGCTTTTTAAATGTCTTTACCTAGCCTTGGTTTCCTGATCCCTGAGCCAGTGTCCTAACCACTGAGCTCTTGGACTGCACAGTGAGAGAACCCCTTCTCCTCTTGTCCCCTGAACTCCTCTGATATCAAACACTTGGCTTTTCTGTGACTAAAGTTTTGAAACTCAGTGTTATGCACTTAACTATACAATTCTTTTCTGCTCTGGAGCCTAAGAGGTCAGAGCATGCTCAGTACAGAAAAATGGAACCATAGCTATACAAATGCAAGTTTAAAACAAACTAACTGCAAGTGCCATGTAAAGATGAAACAGAATTTAGCCCTAGGTGCCCAGATTCCACTGATGTTAAAAAGTATTTTTACACGTGCTCCAATGATGGGAGGGGTGGGGGGCACTTTAATTTGAGTGGCTCTTGGGAGCTGCTATAATTAAAGTGCCCTCAGTGTCTCATATTCAGTGTCCCGCACTTCAAAATGGCGATGGGGTGCTTTTACTAAAGCTCATTTGATAAGCTTTAGTTAAAGCACCTCTGCTGCCATTTTGAAACATGGGGAATCTGAATACACAAGAGGTTGAGGCTGCTGGAGCACTCTAATTAGCAAGCTGCAGCAGACTCAAATTATCAATTTTGCTCTGAAGGGCTGTAACTACAGCATGTCAGAGCAAGAGTCCTGCATGTCTACAGGCACCCAGAATATCTCTGCAAACACTATCTAGAATAATCATTATTTTTAATATGCTTCACAACCTAGCCACTACCCTATCAGATCTTTTAGCTTATCATATCAGCATCCTTTCTCTTAGCTTCACCAGCATTTTTAGCCTTTGCTGTGCATCTCAGTAGTGCACTTTTCCCACAAGCATCTCCATGCTTTCTCACATCTTACTCTTTATATATAGCCCATACTTCTTAAATAAAACTACAGTCACTCTCAAATTCCTCCTTCAGGCCTACTACACACTGCCAGTTTATAAGGATCAGACAGGGGACAACTTTGTTTTGTATATGACTAGGCTTCATGAAAACATACTCACATTGACCCCAATCCTGAAAACCCTTAGGAACACCTGTGTAATCCTGCAGATTGCATATTGTTAAAGAACATGTGTTAATTTGGGCAAAATAATGGCCATAATACCCCTGTTTTCCTCATCTTCATTGTTACCTCCTTGCTGATTTCCCTCGTATTAGTAGCTTAGATTGTGGCTAAGTATAGATTGTCAAATAGACTGAGGCTGAATCGATTCAATCTTCACAGGTTAATCTAAACTGCATAGATTGAACTGATAAGCAGGTGATCAGACATTCACTTTTGATTCTGAAAATGCAGCCATATGCCTGCAGTGGTATCCAGGCCAGAAGCCAGGGGGTGTAAGAGCACACCTCCCTGCTCAGATGGAACAGAGCTTGAATCAAAGCTAGCCCACCCACCCTGTGTGGGAAGGGGTTTTGCAGGAGAAGTGCAAAGCATTTTGGGATGCCAGGGGACTGTGCATAAAGGTCATGTGCTTCCAGAGGCTGGGGAGGCACGGCAAGCTCCCGCAGGTAGCAGCAGCGCTGTTGGTGGTGGGAGTGTGGCGGTGGCAAGTGGTGAGCTCCCGCAGGTGGCCACAGTGCTGTCGGCCTCAGTGGGGATGACGAGCGCCAACCAGTGGTTGGCAACCACCCACAGATGCTGCCAGCAGTGGCAGCAGTGGCCAGCGGCAATTGGGGACCACCCACAGATGCTACCGGCAATGACGGCGGCAAGGAGGCGGTGGCGAGCAGCCACCGCACACAAGCACCACTGGCAGTGTCGGCAGCATCTTTTTGCAGGGGGTGCACCGCTAAACTCAGGGGGTGCATGTGCACCCCCTACGTGTCACCAATGGAACTATGAATTAACTTGAATCTGGAGGGTATCTGGGATAGAAGTTCAATAAACCAATTTAACCTAAATCAGTTAAATCTAATACATTCATCAAGGTTTATCTTAAACTGGTTTCAGCCATTTTGAAAGCAGTTTGTGCGCATTGAACTTCTGTTGTATTATAGATTTGAACCAGTTTCCAGTCACTTATACTGGTTTACACCACTTATACTGTCCATAGTCTGTAAGTCTGTATGTGCAGCAACTATTAGTCTCTTGTCCCTGTTGGTGACCTCTTACCTTCACTTCCTCTACTGAACCATGCTTTGTTCCTAGATCATCTCAGACTGTGGTGCTCTGTCCTACATTTCAGGTATGCATATACAATATTGACATTTTCCCTCAAGTGCTGTGTGGGGTGCAAGTATACATTAATGTCATTCACAAAGAAACTGAAATTGGAGCCTTCAGCAGCTTTTTACTTCTATTTTTGGAGCGCTAAGTTTAGTCAAACACTCAAGATCTAAAGCTACAGGTAGGCAATAATAGTGAAGTTTGCTATAGTGCAAATGGTCCATGAAAGACAATAGGCCTTACCTAAGCCCCAGATAAGTTCTCAGGGGAAAATTCTTCTCCCTACACTATGGATGCAAAAATGCTTTCTTGCAGTAAAACTGGTCTGGTTCTGAGGGCATTTCTGAATGGGAAGATCTGAAGGAATGGGGGAATGTAAGAAAATAATGCTGAAACAGTATTTAGTTTGGAATTAAACCTTCAAGGCCAAACCCAGATGATTGCAGCCATTTGTTTCCCCAGGAACAAGTAGCAGCAGCACACCTTGTGCCACTACGACTTTTCCCTGGGGATCACATGTGCATTGGCACGCAACAGGTTACCCTGCATGGTATAGGGGAGGCTAGGGCCAGCAATTGTGCTGGCCCCAGAAGCCTTACCTGGAGTCCTGGGGCCCTCGGGGGGCTGCAGCTGTGGCGTTCCTGCAGTAAAGAGCCTGGCCAGAGTGTGGCTCCAGCTCGAGTGTGGCTCCAGGTGACCAGGCTCTGGTTTTGAGTAGCATGTGCTGCTGCCATATGCACCAGCATATGCACCAGCATATGCACCATATGCACCAGCTATTTTTTGCCATTTTTTGCCATGGGTTTTTTTGACCCTGGGATCTTCTGGGTTCACAAACCCCCCCTGTGTGGGGCATGCCTGCCTGTGTGGTATGTGGCACTACAGATGGGTCTGTGGCACTACATACTGCATGTACACACTTGTCTGGCCTAAGAGTACAGGAAACCCTCGCTATTCATGGGTTTGGCATTCATGGTTTCAAATATTCGTGAATGCTGAACCCGCATCTTAAATACACTTAAAGGAGCTCCTCGGGAGCTCCACGCTTGCTGCTCCCACCGCGCTCCTGCAGCTGCCAGTGCAGCCGTGTCCCCCCCGCCCCTTGTGCCCCTGGCTGCTGGGAGCACTACGTTCATGAACGCAGACAGCGGATTTCACCATTTGTGGGGGATACGAGAATGTATCCTCCACAAATGGCAAGGGTCTCCTGTATTGCCTTTTGTCTTTCAGAATTTTCAGAACTAAATAACCTGGCAATTTATGGATCCTTTTTGGGTTTTATTCCAGGCAATAGGGCACTTGTGTAACAGAGGCTCTTGCGGTTGTTGGGCTGGAGAAGTGGTTCTGAAGGGATTCCATTCTTTCTGGTAGAGTTTCCCAATGCCTAGCCAAATTAATGTGGCTAAAAGAATGGGCCAGTCCCAAGTATTTTTAATTACTTGCTTTTTTGTGTAAAGTGGGGGATGACTTTCACAGCAACAACATCCTGCAGTCACTACTGAGAACGTGCAACTAGGAAAAGGAATTTATTTTATAGCTAGTATAACTTTGGGGGTTGTTTTCACTCTAAGACTTGAGCAATGAAAAAACACACCTTGCACAGCTACTTCACAGTATTGCTGCCATGTTTAAGGTTTGGGCTCAAACCTTACACTAAAAGGGGGTGACCAGGGCACCAGACTTGAGTGTCTTCGGTGAAGGAGAGTGTGCAGCAACCTTAGTCCTTGTCTGGTCGCCACTGCTTCTGGCAGCCAACCTGCAGCTGCTGCCTCATGTGCTGCCACCACCACCCATCACTCAAAACTGCCTGGTTTGAAAATATCCTCTGTTTGAATCTACTCTCTCTCACACAGCTGCTGTAGTATATCTCCTCTAGCACAGCATAGCTGATAATATAAAAAAAAAAATTCTGAGTTTGAAATCAAAAAGAAATCCATATGGAATATATGTTTTTTTGGTGGACATTTTTTTGCCACCCTTTTGCCACCCTTGTAATTTTTTTGATACCAGAAGCAGCATTTCCTATTGTTAAAGGGCTATGTTGACAAATTAAGAGACTTGCTTCAAATAAAGTAATGCTCTTTTTAGTGCAGATTTCCTTTTGGTATTAGAATGGCTATGTTCTTTTTTAAAAAATAGAAATACTATTCCTAAATTAGTGATTGCAAAGATTTAAATGGTCTGAAAAAGGCAATGCATGTTAACAAACTTAGAATTTTAAATGTTAAATACTGTATTTTTGCATGAAGTATTTTTAAAGGCATGCTTTTTCGGAGCCAAGAAAAGTCATGTTGACCTCTGGATAGAATCGGCCGATGTTCAAAAGATTTGACCTGGAAGTGTAACAGTACGTGATTGGCTGGCCATGGAGCATGGAAAATAAGGTTCATACTGTACAGTAGTTGAGCAATAAGAGACTATCTAAGGCTGTCTAATGTTTTATAGGGAAGAACAGCTGCCAGCAGATGGCAGCAGAAAGGAAAATTAGGCACATAATATAAGACATAGTGGACAAAAGAACTCAGATTTCTAACAGCCTAGTTTCACTAGCTGTTATTGACTATGCAAGGTAACTTAGGGCTTAATTGAAAAGAGGAAATGTTTTGGACCTGTTAACTTTTTATATCTGGTGTACAACAATATATCCTTAAACTACAAAGAACTGTGCCTCTGTGAGTATATAAAATGTCTGAGGAAGTTTTAACAAAAGGTAATTTCTTAATATGTTTGCAGTGCTGTTTGCTATAAAACTTCTCATATTTCACTGATTGTTTAATGAGCAAAAGTATTAATTCTGATATCCTGCTCAAAAGTAATTATGCCAATGGATACTATCTAAATCATTATTTTTAATTAGGATATGTACTTAACCATAGCTTGAAAAAAATATTTTAATTTCTTTAGGCTCCTTCTTTGCACATATTTTGAGCAGAATGGCAATTGATCTTCCACTTTTGTAACAAATGTATATGCTGTGAATGTGTTTCTTTTAGAATCTGAAACAGGGATTACAGAGACTGCCTAGATTTACTTTCACTTTTAATCATAAAATTTACTTGAGTAACGTGCAGTTTTTGGGACAGTGTACAGTACATTTCACTATTCATTTTTGTCAAACTGTGCTAAGTATATTTTTTATTATTAAAGAAGATATAGAATTACCATAAACAATATTTCCTTTTTTTATAATATGTATGTGTGTACAACTACATTTATTGTTGCTTCATTTGTGATTTATGTATTGTCCGAGTCATCCTTTCATGCCTTTCCAAGCTAAAGTTCTGTAAAAAAATTTAAACAGGATTGAGGCACAGAAGAAAATTTCTACATGTCCCTCCATACCCTTACACCCAATAAAAATGAAAGGTAAGGAAGATGTTTTATTATTCCTAATTGGTCTGTGTAAGCATTTTTTTTTGTTTTGTTTTATTTTGTTTTGCCCCCTCTCCCCACCCCACCCCACCCCCCTTGCCCCCAGGAGCAAGGGATACACTACTAAAGCTAAAGGAGCTCTGTGTCTAAGTTAAACAGATTTGGAATTGTTTTTTAATCTGCAAAGTCTGCATTGCACAAGCTCCCTGCTACTTAGGTGGTGATTTTCTCTGGTGGCTTGTATTAAAAAAAAATGTGCAAGAATAGGCAGATTAAATGTTGGTTAAGTATGGACATCTTCCCCAGTGTGGTTCAGCATCCAGTCCTTTTAAACTATCCTTTCTGAAAGTTCATTGTAATTGAGATTTTAGAAACTTAGCAAATTGCATTTTGGAAGAGGGAGGGAGGGACGGGGGCTTGAAACTGATGATGTTATACTAGGTATATGCAAAAAATGAATGCACATCCCTCTTCTCAGACTGAGTGTGACAGTTATGATTGTAACAGCACAGCTTTTATAGCCCTTTCTATAAGCTGTCTTTTTAAAAGGATTTTTCAAGTGCTAAGTAAATTCATTTTGACAGTTTTAGTGATACAGAACTTGGTTTTCCTAGCTTCGTTCAATACTAAAGGCATTCTCTAGAGTTGTTTTATTTTAATTGACTCAAAGGTCAGTTCAAACAAGTTATTGTCCTACATTGCTTCATACAGATTCTGTTGTTTAAAATACTTGAAAGAAGGAACATTGCTTGGTAATCAAAAACAGAATTTGCAATTGGACGGCTGTCTTACAGACACATGAGGGAAACAATGAAGGCCCACTGTGCCAGTAGTACAGTGTGCAGTGCAAAGCAGATATCATGCTGCAGTTTACTTGCCATGCTGTAGATGAGCTGCAAACATATACTTACCATTAACCATGTGGCATTTGCACATACTCAGATATCTTTTTGTTGAGTGTTTCTATAGTGTCAATTTGCAACGCTGCCTATTAATATGTTATCCATGTGAACCTGGCACTTTTTAAATCTAGAAGTAGAGGAGTATGTGGCGGAAGTTAAGAAATTCCATTGACCCAGTTGAATATACTTACAGAGGTTAGAATTGGGGCCAGGATATTTGAGTTCTACATGTAATGTTTCACTGCTCAGCCTCTTTTGAATGGCATTACCTCATCTTGAATCCATTCAGGAAAAGAGTTGCAAATCCCACAAGAACAAATCTCAGTTATCCAGGGTCATTGCATGAACAGGACATGAACAAGTGCTTTTTAGATTTTCAGTGATAAAAAAGATGCCTTTTTCATGTGATGCAACATTTTAGCTCTTAATTTCTCATATTAATTGATTTGATTTGCAAATAAGTCAGGTTTAATTAATTTTTGGTGGTTGTTTATCTGTATGTATTTGATATATGTCAAGTTCAAGTAACTCTGTCCTGGGAGTTGAGGTAAAGGGAAAGTGCAAATATGCTAAGGTGCTTTGTAAAATAATGGCTTTATGTGACCAAATGACATCAATTGGAACAAATTACATACTGCTTCCAGTGATGTAATCCAGAAAGTTTGAATTGCTCTTAGGGCTCTCAGCCTGAATGAATTATTTTTCTTTGAGATCTTCACCAGTAATCAGCTTTTATATTGCAAGCAGCAGGTTTAGACTGTGTTTATTTCTGCAGTTTAAAACCATTTCAGGTAGAAAGCAGGTAGGAAAATGAATCATGTCTTTTGAAATTGCTAGTTTGTAACAATTTTGGATTTTAAAATATTTTCCTTTGTTTACACTAAGGTTTGAGTTGAAATAGCAGTTTGCCTTTGATATTTCATATTTTTAATGCTTATCTGTTGCCAAAATAAGATAAGCCAAAAACAGGCTTGGAAAAAAAATGAAATAAAAGTTAAATAAATTAAATTTGTTTATATAATGCAGCAAAAGTGAAATACTATGCTTTGTGCACACATGCAGATGAATTTACCAACAAAGATTTAAACTATATGCAACAGGTGGTAACAAATCATTTGATATACAAAATATGTAATTAAAGGCATTCATTAAGAAATTAAACAAAATTGAATCTTATGACTCAGATTCTTTTTTCCTGAATCATCTAGATTTTTAATTAAAATCTGCTACCATTAACATTGTTGCAAGAAGTAATATTTACAGTATTTTTAATATCATCTAGGAGTGTTCTGAAATTAAATTGTACTGTATACTTTGTGTATGTAAATTAATCTTTCAAAAGATGCAACAACAGCATAGATATTTTATTGATCCACAACAGCTGGCTTAGTACGTGATTTGAACTGCTTTTGCACAATTATTTCTTTACCTATGGTAAGATGAATTGCCATCTTTAAAAAAAGTTTCTTAATTAATTGGCCATAAAGCAGTCATGCAAAAATTGAGCCAGGTATTAGATTGAAATAAGAAGTGTCCTATACATTGTTAATCCCAATCAAATTTTCAAATTAAGTAAAGGACCAAACTGTTTCACACTTGATCAGTTTGCATAGCACCTCACTTCCAGAGAAGTTGCATTAACTTTAGAGGGATTTTTTTAATGAGAATAATACACTATTCAGCATAAGTCTACTTAGTGGAACCTAGGCCCCAAAAAAGTATTTACAACGTCAGAAGACAATAGGCATTTTGCAAAATTCAGAAATGAAAGACTTCATGAATCTATTGCTATTTTCACTTAATTCATATGGTATAATTTCGATTGTGCCATATAAAATTTTTGAGTAAAATAAAATTTTAAATTGTGGCTTCTTCTTAATGTAACGGTCTTTCATAACTTTTAATAAAATTTAGAAAATGGGAACTTTCAACATTTTTCACCAGTTTTTGCTGTTTGCTGAAAGCATAAATCTTATGAAGTTTTTAGTCTAATTATCACGTGTTTCATACTCTTACTGAGTATTGACAGTAGTCTCCTTCTCTCGCAAATAGTCTAAAATTTAATTTTAATTAATGTTAGTAAGACTAGAAAAAAGTTTTACTTGTTTCCTATGGCTTTTTTAATTATTACACTTTAAAAAACCTTCTAAACATGCATTAAAGATCTGAGTTTCAACAATCAATCTTTCTGAAATTATTTAAGCAAACAATACTTCTGAGGACATTTTTCAATAATATAGGACTCAAAGAAATGGCTTGCAAATAAGACTCTTAAAAAGCCTTTCAGTTTTCATTTCCCAAGTATTTAGGCATCTATAGAAGTGAAAAAATACAAATGTTATTCTTTAAATATCTTATAATATCAATAAATTTAGCCTTCCACTATAGTATAGTACATTTAGTGGCACAGGGGGTAAAGAGAACTACTAACAGGCAAGAGAGGAAAACTGTTATGTTCCATTTTTCAGGAACAAGAGTGTTCATGTATGCTGCAAAGAAATGAATTTGGGAACAAAGAAAAGAACATCATCTTTAAAAGAAAATCTGTCCAAATTTTGGATACCACAGCTAAATCTATGCTGGTAGACCATATCTGTGTGGATCCATTTGCAGCAGTCTAATTTTACTGTAGTCATGGAACTCAATTGTTCATAGAGTGAATTTTCCATGTACGTAAAGCTGGCTAACTGCATTGAAACGCCATACGTGTGCCTCCCTGCACATACATACATGCTATGTCTTATAGACAGTTTGGCCAGAGCTACAGTATATTACCCATCCGCCTATTCATCCATCTTAAAATTTATTGCAATGCTCAACTTGAGGACTTTTAAATATGTGCCATTAAAAACAAAAACAACCCTTACCAAAACACTTCTTCCTAAATCCAAATCTCACATTTTCTTGATGTGATAGACCACTGATCATTTTCAATGTCTCTTTATTTCCACGCTGTAAAGTCTGATAAGTTACTAGAAATGGGGGATCAAGCGACACCACAAATGATATCAAGTTGTACCACTGGGATAAGAAGCTTCCTAAAACCTGCTGGGATTTGCTGCTAGCTTCTAGTCCAGTGGAGTCCCAAGATATTACATTTTTAATTTGTGACTTTTTCATAGTTCTTCTGGAAGTGTTTTACATTTATTAATTTTAATTTTTGTTTCCCTCTAAGTCATGCCTAAACTAACTCATTGGCAAATTATTTGCTGTTATGCCAGCAGAGAATTTGGCCTATATTAAATAAGGTACCTGGCCTTACTGAATGTCACCCAAATGTAAGCCCAGTTAATTTTTTTTTTTTACAAACATTTCTAAAATATAAGGAGCCCCCTTTGAAGTTGTTTGTATCTTTGTGTTTCTATTCTGCTATTAGCTCCATGAGACAGTCCTTGCACAATGACTGGCATAAATGCTTATGGTTGTCAATGACCTGCCTTCCACTGGCATTCTTTTCCAGGTGGCAGCACTACTGCCATTGAGCTGAATATGTGCATCTCCATTGACAAGTCCAAGGGTCCTGAGTATTTTCATTTCTCAGTGGGCATGTCTGCACATGACACTACATTGCTGTAGCTACACGCTATGGAGACATAGCTTGTCACTACACCGATGTAGCGACAGTGGGCACAAACCATGATGCTGATGCTACATTGTCATAGTGACAAGCTACCTCACTATAGCGACATAGCTGCTAAAAATAACGATGCGCCATCATTTAGTACTTCCTAAAGCAAGTACTAAAAGACAGTGCATTAACAACTGCATGTGGGGGGCACACGGGGTGTGGGGCACCCAGTATTATTTTGTATATTGTTTTGTGTTGCTCCTGCTTTTCCCCTCTTTTTCTCTTTCTGCTCTTTGGTGCATGGTGAATGAAGAGATTGATGTTATAATGTAACACAGTCTGACTTTCAGGTTCTATCATGGTTGCCAATTTTAACTAGGTATCAATAATATTACAAAGTCATATTACAAAGGACATGTTTACTGCTTAACATTGTTCAGATCCTCTTGATTAGTATACCTCTAACCCCAGTTCTTCTCAGGAACAACCCAGGACCTGCCTCTGATATTCGGAGACAACTTGCC